CCATCTAAAGCCCTTTATTGAAATTATTCTCATTTGAATCTAAATCACTATTACAAATAGGGTAGGAAAGTGATCTTGTTAGCCTTCAAGCATCCCATTAGTTTCAGTCTATGTTTGCCGCTCATGTTGAGTAGTTCCTGGAAAATCCCATAGGTCTCGATGTTCCCCTACCACCGCAATCAAGAACCTTCCTAAGGCTACCCTCTATGTAATCATTGCATTCATTTTTCGATTTGAAGCGAGCAGATTGGAGTAAAGTCGCGGCTGAAGAAGGATAGATCTGGAGCTCTCTATAATGGAAGATGAATCGTCCGGTGATTGGAGCTACGTCGCAGCTGAAGAAGCTGAATCACCCATTGATGAGTAGAACTCGACCCCTCAATTTGGAAGAAATGGAATAGGTGCATTGTGGCGATTGATTAGGGATGCTAGTAGATTTCCCCTTTGCCTCCGTCCCTCTACGTCCGGCGATTCTCCAAGAGCGACCTCGACGCCCATCGATTCTTCCAAGACGACGTCTTTGCCTCCGCCTTCAACGCCCGACAAGTTGTTATCCCTAAGCTACCTCGACATTGCCCGAGTCGGAGAAGGAAGAGCTTGTGTTCCCAGATCTTATCATCGTCACCACGGATTTTCTTGATGGCGAGGATGGTTCGCCGACCGCTCTGTCGTGGACACAGAACGGAGAGGTCAGGGGATTGTTTTTTAATTTTGAGATTATTTTTACGAAAATTATTATTTTTTAATTAAAAATATGACGTGGCATCAACGTGTCTATCATGTTGCTGCCACGTCGGCCCCAATCTGACGTCGTTTTCAAAACCGTTTGGTCAACCGTTATATCTAACGGTCAATGAAATCGTCAGGATACAAATGGCACAAAGTATCATAATTCAGGACACGAATGGAATATTTGATACAATAGAATACAAGTGACATTTTTTTTTATAGTTCGGATGTTGTAGTGGTATTTGCCCTTTACTATTTAATCAGTTATCAATGTAAACGTTAACTACTGGTACCGATTCGATTATCGATAACACCGCTAACAAGATAACCATACGCCAGCTGAATCTTGTATTATGTTTAATAGATCACTAGTTTTTTACCCGCCCGTTGGGCGGTCCAAATTGATTTATTTTTCATTGTAATATTTTATTTTTTATGATTCATGTATGTTACACTATTATACATGAAAATTTTAATCTCCTTTACCTTAGTTCATATTCAGATATCATTTGACCCTTTTGTATCTTCCATTTATTACAGAAACACTAATTTTATTAAATTATTTTACGTCAACTATTTTGTGTCTACTATTTTTTTATTGTTTTAGATCCAATGAATATCGTGCAATATAAGTTATACATGCAATTTTGTTAGAGCAAGAAACGACATTAGCATCCACATAATCAATCTTCTGCTTAATCATTTTAATTTACCTTAGCAATGTTCTAGCATAACCAACCACAAATCGAACTATCGACTATCATTAATTTAGAGCTAATACAACTAGGAAACCCGAACTGTTAACTTTGTGTCATTTGTGTCCTAAAGTATTCGATATGACAATTGTGTCCCAAACTATTTTTCTGTTATGGTTGACTGGCGTTGACCGTTAGTTTTAAACAGAAAGTCTAATAAGCGCTGATTTGGCATCTGACGTGGAAATTAAAAGGAAAAATAACAAAAAATGGAAACTAAAAGAAAATTTTAAAAAGTGAAAATTTCGTTCACTTTCCTCTTCACCTTTTCCCCATAACCTGATAACCCTTCTGTATTCCGCCGAAAGAGAGAGAAAGAGAGAATTAGACAGGGGAAATCAGAGCGGAAGCTTGCGCTTCAATGTCGATTCACCGGAAGAAGTAGTCGATCATCCACTTGCTACAGGCGAATTCACTCAAGAGCAGACGCCTTCCCTCAAACCATGCCAGTCGACCATCCACGCGCCGCCGCTGCTGAGTTCGTAGGGTGAGCTCTGAGATCGCTACCCACAGCAAGCCTTTCCGGTGGCGTGGCTCCGATTGTTGATGAAATGCTTCAATGAGGATGGAGACGAGTGAACCCAGCTCTCACCGTGAGTGCCTCCGTGACAACCGATGGGAAAGAGCAGAGTGTGTTTAAGTTTTTCGAGCACTGTCGAAGATCTAGATCTAGGACTCGGGCACCGCAAACAACGACGAACGTTGTCGACAATGATAAGATCTGGGAGATCGATTCTGATGCCGCCAGCGAAATAGTAACCCGCAGAACGGGTTGGACTATTTCAAGCTCGATAAATCTGGAATGAAGAGAGGGTTGGACTGTCTCTAGCTCGATAAATCTTGAATAAAGATATTTTTTTTCTATAATCGATTCTGGGAGGAGATGATTAAGGTCGGTGGGAAGAGAAGTGGAGGAAAGTGATGGCAGAGGATGGGCCCCAAATGAAAGGGTTTTGGGTTCCCAGAGAAGAAGATGCATATGAATGACGAAGGAATCGACGCCTCCCATCTCACCGATTTTGGCGAAGAGGAAGATGATAATGCTGCCACTTCGTCTTTCCATCACGACTAGCCCTCGCTTCGAACTGTCAAGCCGGTGAGAGTGGTGGAGACGAAGACGAGAATGCCGCCGCTGTTCCCTTCTTCCTCGACGGGATTTGATTAGAAGAAGAGGAATGCTTGTGAGGGTTTTTTTTATAATACTCTATTTTTTATTTAATTTATAATTAAAAATATGAGGTGTCATTGACGTGGCATCTACATGGCTGCCACGTCAACAAAAGTCAATGTTAATGTTGACTTCCATTTGGTCAACCATTATTCTATAACGGTCAACAAACTCGTCAGGATATAAATGACACACAACTATCATACGTTGTGACACAAATGTCATATCGAGTACTTTAGGACACAAATGGCACAAAGTTAATAGTTCAGGTTTCCTAGTGGTATTAGCCCATTAATTTATTAAAATAATATTTTCAGCGGTAATGACTGGTGTACGTTAGCCATATAGTATACAATAGGTGATCTAACCGTTAGATGTACTTAGATGAGCTCCAACCGATCTCAACAGTCAATTTTTGTTTTTCATTAAATCAAACTTCGGGTTGGGTTTAGAAAATTGGTGCATAGGGTTTATCCATTAGATGTTAGGGTATAGTATCATACCCCAAACTTGATTTAATTCATGGTCTAGATAGAGATATCTCACTAGTAGTACCTGACGTATAGTATACGCCTGACGTACGCCAGTCTGACCCTATTTTCAGCAAATTTAATCGCATATAAATATAATTCATATTTAGTTGAGGCTACATATCCCTTGCAAAAATGAATGTTTTTTTTACCTAATAACAACATAGATGAATAGTGAAAATTGCAGACTTTAGTACAACTCAATTCGTTCCATCTTACTAATTCATCAATCATGAATTGGATTGATGCATCAATCCACACTAAGAAAACAAACAAATGACATTGCACACATTTAGAAATTGAAAGAACATCGACATAGACAACCCAATGAGCACTACCACCACTTTCTTTCTTATTCGTGACCTTTGTAAAACCCCACATCCCTTCTACTTATAACCCTCTGCTACTTACTAATTACTGACCATATAATCACTGTAAAGCTCGCTAGTAGCAAGTCACTCATGAACATAATAAATACAAAAATATCCTCTGATATAGCATGGTAAGATGACGAACCTCACAACTCAGTTTTCCATTTTAGTATTTGAGGAATAATATAGAAGAGGAATGCTAGAAATCTCAAACTTTTGAGCAAATAAGAAAAGAGCTTTGTTTGTTTTTACAGGGCTTAACCCAATCAATTAATTTTATTCTTTTTAATGTTGGGTTTTATTTTTAGAGAGCTAATTTATACGAAAAATTATAGTAACAAACTAAAAGGTTGCATTCATTGTTATTAATTTAAATTTATGTGTTATTGATGATAATGACGATTGAAAGGGTTAACAAAAGGTACATCATTTATAATTAGGACTTGCCCACCATGAAAGGATGAGGCTACCCATGTGCTGATGTGGTAGTAATTTAGTTTTGAATAATACCTAAAGCGAAGATGAAAGACAATAAAAGAATCAAGTAGGACAATTTACAACCCTGCCACCATAATATGAAAGTACTTAAAAAATGGAAAGAAGAATAGAACTCGGTCGGTCAACCACACGCAACCAAATACCGTTGGAGAAGAGAGATCAGTCATCAGCTGCGGATCACGGGAGAATAGGGAGTTGTCGTCAATCTTTGGCTTGGTTTACTTCGTCTTCAATGATAAGAACTTTTTTCGCCTATAGGAAAAAATGTTACAACTGCTCAATTGTTTCTCATCTAATTGTTGCCTCTTGTAACTTATGCAATGAAAAAACTCTATATGTCTTACCATTTTCCTTACATGTATAATGTATCTATGCATAAAATAGTAGAGAAGAAAATAGAAATGCTAGAAACATCAAAATTTAGAGTAAATAAGAAGAGAGCTTTGTTTATTTTATAGGGCTTGACACAATTTCTATCTTTCGCTTCTTTCCAATTTTGAATTTTATTTTTAGAGAGATAATCTATGCGGAAAACAAATAGAAACAAACCAAAAGATTGCATTCATTGTTATTAACTTAATTCACATTTTAATGATAATAATGATGATTTAAAGTGTAAGGAAAAAAGAATTTATAATTAGAACTTATGCCCCTTGGAAGAATGAGAGCCACCCATGTGCTTATGCGGCAAAAATTTAGTTTTGAATTCCTATAATATTAAGTAAAGAAAGATAAAGAAGATTCCCCATAAAACTCCGTGAAGCCAAATACTCTGTACAGCTTAAATTGCTTAATACATCTCAACGTCAAAGAAAATGGATTGGGCCTAAAGAGGCCTAAACTCACTGGGCCATTATGAGGGTGGCTAACTGGCTATATTCGCAGAAGAGAGGACGAAGCAGGCATGGCCCATTTCGATCCGAATTCCGACCTGATCGGCTGATCGCCATGTCACTGATATTCCGATCTCTTGTGCGCATTCCCTTCTGAAAGTACCGCCGGTTGCGAAGACGCAAAACGTCGGCGAAGCGCAGAAAGAGTTTCAAAACGCAATCCTCTCGGCTCCATAGTCACAACTCAATACCGATGTGGACCCCCAGCGAATCACCGATCAAAGCTACTCCCTTGGCTCGCATCTTCTACGGTTGGCCTCCGGGGAATGCCACTGACCTGCCGCCGGGAACGAGCAGAGATAGGCGAGACTCCGCTCCGCAATCGGCGGCCTATTAGTTAAGGTACTTCGGTTCTTAATTTCATATTAATGGGAAGCTTTTACTCTTGGCCGGACATATTGCTAATAAATTGTAGCAAGTAGTAACGCACTTGCTCATTCAATCAGTCGGTCAAGCAACTGAAATTTTTTAGAATTTCCAGAATCTTGAATGCCAGTTATGATCGTAGATATGGTAACTTAAGAAGTCCGATCAAGTTCCTTATAACGTATCATATATATAGAGGAAAGAAAGATGGGTAGATCACCGTTCGCAGTAATCTTAGCAGCCACTAGATACCCTCAATGGTTTTCCTTCTACCTTTAGCTATGGCTGCCAATGTTGTGAGATCAATGCTGAACAACTTATGCTGGTTTGTGGTTTTGGCCCTAGCCCTGCACCATTGCTTCAGTTTGGTAGCCATTGCCCAGCAAGTCCCATGCTTCTTCATATTTGGGGACTCTCTGGTGGACAATGGGAACAACAACCACATTAAAACTTTGGCCAGAGCTGATTACCCCCCTTACGGGATAGACTTCCCAGGCGGTCCTTCTGGCAGATTCTCCAACGGCAAAACCACCGTTGATGTAGTTGGTATGGTTTTGACTTATGAGATAAGATCATATTTGTGCCCGACTTCCAAACTTTGGTAGTACAATTTAAAAATTTAGTAACTTCCATCTTCTGTGATTTTGGTTTTATGCAGCTGAGCTACTGGGATTCGACAATTACATCCCTCCCTTTACTGTTGCCAGCGGGGAGGAGATACTGAACGGAGTGAATTACGCATCTGCAGCTGCTGGCATTCGGGAGGAGACTGGGCAGCAACTGGGAGGTAGGATAAGCTTCAGTGGTCAAGTGAGGAACTATAAGAACACAGTGTCCGGGATAGTTAACTTGCTTGGAGATGAAGACACAGCGGCTAAGCACTTGAGCAAGTGCATTTACTCTGTTGGGTTAGGGAGCAATGACTATCTCAACAATTACTTCATGCCATTGATTTACTCTACTTCTAGGCAGTTCACCCCGGAGCAGTATGCTGATGACCTCATTCAGAGATATACTCAGCAACTCAAGGTCAATAACTTTCCAAATTTTATCTTACTGCTACCAAACTATAGTCACGCCTTCGATGGTGAATCCGATGTTTTTTTCTTTCCTGTTGGTTGCAGATTATGTATAGCTATGGTGCGAGGAAGTTTGTGTTGAATGGAGTGGGACAGATAGGGTGCAGCCCAAGTCAATTGGCTCGAAATAGTCCGAACGGGAGGACTTGCGTGCAGAATGTCAACACTGCGATTCGTACCTTCAACTACAAGCTAAAATTGCTAGTTGATCAGTTGAACCACGACACCCCTGATGCCAAGCTCATCTACGTCGATACCTATGGGATTTTCCAGGAACTGCTCAAAAACCCAGCAGCCCACGGTAATAAAAGAACATAGCAAAGCAGAAACCCCAGAGGGCCCTTACTCCACTGTACCACAAGCTACAGAAACAGAGTAGTGAATTTGTTGTTTTGGTTTTGATGTTTCTTTCAGGGTTCAGAGTGAAGAATGCAGGGTGCTGTGGGGTGGGGAGGAACAACGGTCTGATTACATGTCTGCCGTTCCAAATTCCATGCCAGAATAGGAACCAGTACTTGTTCTGGGATGCATTCCACCCGACGGAGGCTGCCAACGCATATGTGGGAAAGAGGTCTTATATCGCACAGTCTCCCAGTGATGCTCATCCCTACGACATTCGCCGGCTTGCTGAGCTCTGATAAGATTCTGGAAATGGAGATTAGATCAGATCAGATCATCCTTTGTCCTTTTAGCGGCCTCACATGATGTTCAAAGTTTTGGCAGTCAGTTCTTATCCATATTTCCCTGAGTGCTACTTCTGATAAGATATGTGGTACTTTTGAATTCAGATTGAATAATCTCCCTTGTTAGGCCTTCAGATCTTTCTTTTTCTTGGAACCTTAGAGATAATTTAGGACGGTAAAACAACTCGTTGATACTAAACCAATCCCAAACTAGTTTTACCCTCTATTTACATGATCAGGCTGGACGTCAAACTGTTCAATGGTTATTGTTCCCATTTGTTGTCATATATAGACCTTCATGAATTCTTTTTTAATGAATGAGCATTTCATTTCATCAAGATGCTCCCTATTTAATGAATGAGCATTTCACAACACTATTCAAATGTCTACAACAATATTAAGACAGATGCTCCCTATTACAGCACAACCAAAACCTGCTACCTCCAACAACAACAACAACAACAAAAAAAAAAACCTTATCACTACTTACTATTACAATGCTATCTAGCAGTAATTCTCTGTATTTTCAGAATCCCTAGCCTGAAACCAAAGCGGCTTGAACTGGCAGATTGCTGCTAATTCAGGACAAGCTCCACATTTCAGCTCTACAATCCTCTTGATTTTCATAAACAGGGCATCCTCATTTAGAGTGACACCAACATACACTCTCCTGCACCTCTCATGTTGTCTCTCATGTTGTTGATGTGACTTGAATCGGACTATCAGTTCTATGGTTGGAAGTCACGATTGTAACTGCTTTTCCTTTACCATATTGGATTAAGGTTAGAACTAGGAGAAATACTATAAATACTTCTCATACTACTCTGTAACCTGTATCTTCTCGAAGTATAGTGAAACTGGCCCTCTCCTGCCCATGGACTAGCTAATAAACATTGTGTTAGTGAACCACGTAAATCGTGTGTTGTGTGTGTGCGCACTTTCGTTTCTTGCATTGTCGAATACTCCTATTTCCCTATCCGCAGAAAACAGTCGTGACAAGTCCTGATGACGTCATCATTGAAATCGCTTATGAGAAGATTGTCGCGGGCTTGTGGTTGAAGCTGGAGAGTCTGTATATGACAAAGTCCCTAACCAACAAGTTGCATCTCAATCAACAGTTGTTTAGTTTGAGGATGCAAGAAGGTACTAGGATGACAAAAATATTTGTAACCGTGGATATCCGCCCGAATCCGATCTAATCGGGTAGGGTAAAACCCGAACCCGAATATTGCGGGTAATGTGTATTCATAGTTTTCTCACTATCCAACCCTAACCCGCCCGATCATACACATGCATATGTATTTTGTCTAGAAATAATCATTATTTTTCTCTAACATATTATATATTTAGCATATAAATATAATATTTTCATGAAATTGTGTTATTTTAATTAATTTTTTTTTCATTCTAATAAATCATTTTCGTACTTTTCGTCTTATGTAAAGCGAGAATACATGTGAAAATTAACATATTTGTTGGAATTATAAAGAGAAATTATTACCCATGGATAACCGTGTATACCCGAAACCCGAACGGGTATGGACATGGTTTTGACTTTCTACCCATTGCTTATATGGGTATGGGTATGGGTAAAACCCAAACTAGTTTGGGTAGGTTAACATATATGCACTATCCGCCCCTGACCCAACCCATTGCCATCTATAGAAGGTACGCCTTTGAGGGAATATCTGGAACAAATTAATCCTATTTTGTTGGATTTACGTAATATAGATGTGAAAGCTGATGATGCTGCCCTAATCATGCTTATTTCTTTGCCGAGTTCATATGAGAATTTCGTGGAGTCTTTTATTGCTGGTAAAGATAGCTTGTCGTTGGAGGATGTCAGATCTGCTCTTCACACGAGAGATAATACATAAGGCGTTCAGATTTGGCATAGATGGTGAAAGATCGGGGTTGGATGTTACAGGTGGAAAGGGAAAGAAGAAATCTAGTAAAGATTCGAACAGAAACTCGAATTCTATGGCTCCTGGTCCACAGCCAAGCGATGCATGTCACATCTGTAAGGAAGTGGGGCATTGAAAGTACAACTGTCCCAGAAAGATAGGGCATCAGAAGAACCAAGGTTTTGTTGCTGTTGCAGAAGTAGACAACAGTTCTGAAAACAATCTCGCCTTGGCTGTAGATCAGATGACACATCGTGATGATGTGTGCTTTCTGGATAATGCACCCTCCTATCATATGTCTCCAAATAAAGAAGGTGGTGTTGTGTATGTTTGCAAAGGTTTTAAGAAGGTGCTGAAGGGCGTGAAGAGTGGAACCTTGGGTCCGTGTTGTCTAGTTCTGCGGTAGTTGCATCATCGCAGGTTCATCAAGAAGATATGACCATTCTTTGACACGTGAGATTGGGTCATATGAGTGAACGAGGGATGCATGTTCTGTCGAAGAGAGATCTTCTTTACCGGCACAAGGTGCAGAATCTGGAATTCTGCGAGCACTGTGTGTTTGGGAAGCTACACTACAACAAGTTTTCTAAGAAGGGTATCCACCGGACGAACGGGATACTAGATTACCTCAACTCCTATTGTTGGGGTCCTTCACGAGTTGAATCCATTGGAGGCAGCATGTATTTTTTTGTCTATTATTGATGATTACTCAAGGTTTACTAGGATTTTCATGACGAAGCAGAAAAGTGAAGCCTTCGTGAAGTTCAAGCAGTGGAAGACCTTGTTGGAGAATCAGACAAGGAAGAAGATCAAAAGACTTCGATACAGACAATGGTCTAGAGTTCTGCAGTTTTTATTTCAACGAATTCTGCAAGGATGAAGGGATTGCCCGTCATCGGACCGTTAGAGATACACCACAATGAATGGCGTTGCATAAAGGATGAACCAGACATTGTTGGAGAGAGCAAGGTGCATGCTCTCTAATGATGGGCTGAAGAGGAGTAACTTAGGAAAAAGTAGTAAACATGGCGTGCTACCTCATCAACCGTGGACCTCACACATGTATCGAGTGTAAAACTACTTATGAGGTGTGGTATGGTAAGCCTACTGACTACTCTTTATTGAAAGTTTTTTGGTTGTCCTGTTTACTATCATGTGGATGAGGGTAAGCTGAATCCAAGAGCAAATAAGGGTGTGTGTGTTTTGGGGGTGGAGTTAAGGAATTTCGAGTCTAGTCACCTTCTGAGCGTATAGTTATACTTATTAGAAATGGGATATTTGATGAGACGTCTATGTTTTTAACCTCATGTTTAAGGTTATTGTTGTTGGAGATAGCAGGAATGTTGATAAACAGGTGGAGCTGCAAACTCTCAAAGAGAGTGAGTTTGAGCACCAAGGCGGAAAAGATCAACATGAAGATGTTTCTGATGAGCCAGAAACTTCAAAGTCGAGTGTAGGAGCTCAACAGTTTATAGCTTCCGGTAGACCAAAGAGAGTGACTACAGGAATACCTCCACAAAGGTATGGCTTCGAGGACATGGTGGCGTATGTTTTTCAGGTGGCTGAAGAGGTAGATGCGGGTGAATCACATATCTAAAGAGAACCAGCTTACTATGGCGAAGCCACTCAATGGCTTGCTGCAACGGGGGACGAGATGGAATCCCATGACAAGAATCAGACTTAGGAGTTAGTCAAACGTACACAGGGAAGGAAGATTGTTACAAACAAGTGGATATACAAGAAGAAGGAAGGAATTGCTTCTGAAGAGGGCATTAAATTTAAAGCTCAGGTAGTTGCAAGAGGCTTCTCACAGAGGAAAGGAGTTGACTACAATGAGATTTTCTCACCAGTGGCCAGATACACTTCGATTAGGGTGTTACTAGAGATAGTGGCACATTATGGCTTGAAGCTCGAGCATCTAGACGTGAAGATAACTTCCCTACATGGAGAGTTGGAGGAGGAAATTTACATGACTCAACCAGAGGGATTCCAGGTTCCAGGAAACGAAAACTATATTTGTAAGGTGAAGAAGTCTTTATATGGACTTAAGCAATATATGAGGCAGTGGTACAAGAGGTTTGACAGCTACATGTTTGAGTTGGGCTACAACGGAAGTCCCTATGCTAGATCTTGTCCAGGTTTGGCATTTCTTCAGCAAAGCCCTTGAATAATCTTAGTGCTTCAAATGTTTATGTACTCTCAGTTTGTGCACTGCAGTTAGAGGCCGAGAAGGAGTACATGTCGAGAGTCCCATATGCTAGTGCAGTTGGTAGTTTGATGTACGCTATGGTATGCACTAGATCTGATCTTGCACATGATGTTAGTGTTGTCAGCAGGTTTATGATACAACCTGTGAAGGAGCATTGACAGGTTGTGAAGAGGATCTTCTGGTACCTTAATGGTACATCTGATGTGGATAGGGGTGGGCAACGGGAAACGGGTATTTGGGTATACCCGTACCCGTCCCATTTTTTAAGGGTTACGGGTACCCATATTACCCGTAATATTTTAAACGGATGGGACTTGGGATTGTACAGTCCTAATATGGGTACCCGCGGGTTACCCACGAATACCCGTTTGGGTAATATGGGTACCCGTTGTACCCATTCAAAGTACAAAGACAGATTTAATTCAGCCTATGCGCCCAGGCCCAGCCCAATTCAAAACTCATTTTCGGCCCTTACCCACTGAGACCGTGAGACGCACCCCTAGCAGCTTCTCTGGACGCGCATCAGCTTCTCTGGACACGCAGCTTCTCAGTTCTCTGGTCCCTAGAGGAGTCGTCTTCGGGACGAGAGAGAAGAGACGAAACCTATCGGCGCCTCCTTCATTCACCGCCGCCGCCGCATCTGAGAGGAACCTCTCAGTCCCTCTCCTCTGCGCAGCCGCCGCCTCCATTCCACTCAGTGAGGAAAGTGTGGGAGCACCCAAAGTTTTGGCGATACAATGGAGAAAATGGCAGTGGGAAAATGGCAGTGGGTTTGCCTTTGGGATGTAATTGCCTTTGGGATGTTTTGAAATGAATGCTTGTGCATACAGAGATTGAATTTATGTTTTTGATCATATTGTGTTCTTATTATTCCCCGCAAGAGCATGTTATTGTTAAGATATGTAATGTGATGTCATTTAAACTTAGGGTATTTTATGGGTAGTATGGGTACCCGTTATCCGTCCCGTACGGGTAATGGGTACCCGTTTCCCATATGGGTTTGGGATATGGGATGGACTTTGGTCTCCAAATGGGACTGGGTACCCGTTTATACCCGTCCCGTCCCATTGCCCACCCCTAGATGTGGAGATTAGCTTCAGAAGTGATATAGAGTACTTAGTGGCTGGTTATTCAGATTCTGACTATGTTGGAGATGTTGACATGAGAAAATTGATGACCGGTTATGTATTCAATCTTGGGAGTTCTATAGTGAGCTGGAAGGCAACTCTGCAGTCGACAGTGACATTGTCTACTATTGAAGCAGAGTACATGGCATTGACAGAAGCTGCTAAGGAGGGAATATGGTTGAAGGGGCTGGTTGGTGATCTGGGTCTACATCATGATTAGACACTGATGTATTGAGACAGTTTGAGTGCAATATGCTTGGCCAAGGATCAAGTCCACCATGAAAGGACTAAGCATTGATGTGAGGTATCATTTATTGAGGACAGAAGAGAATTAAGGTGAAGAAGGTTGGCATCGCAGCCAATCTTGCTGACATGCTCACAAAGTCAGTTCCACATGGCAACTTCCAACACTACTTGGACTTGCTGAATGTATTGAGTGGGTGAATTCTCCCTAATAGGAATTGATGGCAGGAGGGAGAGAAGGGTCAGAGTACATAAGAGATTTCAAAGGAAGAGGATTCAAGTCAAGGTGGATATTTGTTGATGTGACTTGAATCACACTATCAACTGCTATGACTGGAAGTCACGAAAAGTCACGATTGTAACTGCTTTTATTTTACCATATTGGATTAAGGTTAGACCTAGGAGTACTATAAATACTTATCATACTCCTCGGTAATCTATATCTCCTCGAAGTATAGTGAAACTGGCTCTCTCCTTCTCGTGGACTAGCTAACACACATTGTGTTAGTGAACCACGTAAATTGTGTGTCGTGTGCTTTCCTTTCTTGCATTGTCGAATCCTCCTATTTCTCGATCCATAGAACATAGTCGTGAAACATGCCAAATTTCACTTAACAATGGATTCCAAAGTAATATCCCAACCTTTTAGTTATTTCGCTTTAAATTTGCTTCCTCCATGCCTTCTAGCCAACCTGCTGATGGGAAACAACCCCAATAGGGTAGTAATGGGGTTCTTCAATGCCAAAAAAGGTTCGAGACAGGGTAATCCTTTTTAACCCTACCTCTTTAACATCCAATGGAGGTTCTTTCACGCATGCTCAATAGGGTATCCAAGAATAAATCCCTCTCTTTGCACCCTCAATGTCAAAGCATCAAACTTACTCACTTCTATTCTGGAGATGAGTTTTTATTATCACAAAAGGGACTAAAGAGGGTAGTAGTTAGTGTTATGGGACAATAATCGCTGAGGAAGGGATACAAAAGTTCGTGGACCTTGTCTTGAGGAGAGGATTGTTATGGGACAATCTAAACACCACATCGGAAATATAAGGAAAGGAATTATTGTATGCAAGTGTCCACCTAGTCCAATTAGCATTAGGCCTTTTGGGGAGGACACTCAAGAGTAAAACCGTGCGGGCTTGGCCCAAATCGGATAATATCGTACTAATTGAGCTCTCCGATTATGACCAGTGGTATCAGAGCCTGGTTCGGTGGATCCGGGAGGGTCACACCAAACTGTCGTCCAAAATTTGATACTAGTTGTCAAACCGAATAGCTCAATTAGTACGATATTGTATGCTTTGGGCCAAGCCCGCTGGGTTTTACTCTTTGGTGTCTTCCCAATCAGATGTAGCCTAGACGCGAAACTCTCTTTGATCCTCCTAACAGACGTGGATCTCTCATGGATCCACCAAACCATATGCATATCTAAAATCTTGAGGTCACCGAATGAGGGTACCACCAAACTGACGTCCACCGACAGAACTGAACCAGGCTCTAATACCACTTGTCAAAATCGCATAGTGATATTGTCCGCTTTGGGCCAACCCCGCACGGATTTACTTTTGGATGCCTCCCAAAAGCCTCGCACTAATGAGTTTGGTGGACACTTATATACAATGGTTCCTTCCCTTGTATATCCAATGTGGTACTTGGATTGTCTCTTAACAATCCTCCTCTCAAGACAAGGACCACGAACTTCGTGTACTCTCCTCAACGATTATCTTGATCCACCAAACACCTTGTATCGATGGGCTTCTCGGTACAAGGATTTTCCCAAGCGTGGAACTCTTTTTGACCCGCCAAACCACATGTAGCCCAGATGCGGAACTCTCTTTGATCTGCCAAACCAGACGTAGATCACCTTTGATCTACCAGACAGACGCACATCTTTGAGGTCATCGAATGAGGGTCCCGCCAAACTGATGTCCACCACCCCGAACCGAACCAGACCCTGATATCACTTGTCATAACAGGGGATCTCAATTAGTACGATATTGTCCGCTTTTGGCCAAGCCCACACGAATTTACTTTTGGTTTTCCTCCCCAAAGGGCCTCGTACTAATGAGCTTGATGGACATTTATATACAAGGGTTCATTCCCTTGTATATCCGAGTAATAGTAAGAATTCTTGAGCAATTATAGAGTTTCTGGTCTCAAAATAATCCAAGTAAGACTGGACTTTTCTATGCGTGACTGGGAAGAGAGAAAAAGCAGGAGCTGTTAATAGGGATGGCAATTTGAACTTACGATGGGGTAGGAATACCTGACCTGCAGTAACGTGGGCGGGTCATGGGTATCAACTTCCAACCCGTCCTGCCCCGTTCTTGGTCCGTTCTAGGTTAATTTCGTACGTCATCCATTCGTATATCTCCTATTTTGGATGTTCTTCAACTAGTTGGACTTGACCTTTCAACTAGATAAACTCAATTACCAATTATATTATCACTATTATTCATTCATGAAATCTTTTCCACTTTGTTTTATCATAAAAAGTAGAATTTTGTGTGTATTTTTTTCAAATAGCATATAAGAGTGGGTCGACCTGCCCCGCCTCGTACCCGCGCGAGTATTGCCCACCCCGATCCGTAAAAGTGTGAGACGGGACATGAGTATTGAAATACCCTCCCGTCCCGACCCATTGTCATCACTGGCTGTTAACCAGGTCTGGTTTCAATCTAGGGGTATTTCCTGTAACGTACCTTGATTTTCTCATCTATTGAACGTGCTATCACTGAACTTCTCTTTCCTTCATATGCATGGATATCCAACCCAACGGCTTGCTGGAAATAAAAGAATTTGTTATTGTTTCTAATTTGATGGGCTGCTCATTTATAGAATGGATTTAAGTGGCATGGCTTTCATTATTACTATTAATATATATAAATCCGAAGTAATGTTACTGTTACCTAAAAATTAACATTATGATACCCCAAATTTAATTCAATCACAATTTAGTCACTATAATGTAGATATAACATTTTGATACCCTAAATTTAATTTATTGTAAAATCATTGAACACTTTGATATCTAAATTTTATGAGATTTTGTATCTACAATTTTTAAAATTTACATATGGGTCCAATGTTTATATTTCATATAAATCTGAAGTAATGTTACTGTTACCTAAAAAGTAACATTTTGATACCCCAAATTTAATTCAATCACAACTTAGTCACTATAATGTATATTTAATATTTTGATACCCTAAATTTAATTTTAGTGTAAAATCATTGAATAATTATACTTTGGTATCTAAATTTTATGAGATTTTTGTATCTACATTTTTTTAAATTTATATATTGGTCCAATGTTTAGATTTCACTTGAATCCAATCCACTAATCCTTTTGAACCAATCTATGAATCCAATCCAACATAACATAAAAGTATAGATTTAGTTTGTACAATTAATATATATAAATCTGAAGTAATGTTACTGTTACCTAAAAAGTAACATTTTGATACCCAAATTTAATTCAATCACAACTTTGTCACTATAATGCATATTTAACATTTTGGTACCCTAAATTTAATTTAATGTAAAATCATTGAACACTTTGGTATCTAAATTTTATGAGATTTTTGTATCTACAATTTTTAAAATTTAAATATCGGTCCAATGTTTAGATTTCATATAAATCTAAAGTAATGTTACTATTACCTAAAAAGTAACATTTTGATACCCCAAATTTAATTCAATCATAACTTAGTCACTATAATGTATATTTAATACTTTGATACCCTAAATTTAATTTTAATGTAAAATCATTGAACAATTATACTTTGGTATCTAAATTTTATGAGATTTTTGTATCTACAATTTTTAAAATTTACATATTGGTCCAATGTTTAGATTTCACTTGAATCCAATCCACCAATCCTTTTGAACCAATATATGAATCCAATCCATCATAACATAAAAGTATAGATTTAGTTTGTACAATACATATTATTGTATCACTCAACTGTAGGAGAAGATTCGACCATTTCATATTTGCTCAACTGTAGGAGAAGATTCAACCATTTCATATTTGCTCATTACGTGAAACATTAAATAAACGACAAAACAGAGACGACTCTCAAATATTGCAACAACAAATTTATAAACTCATTTGGTACATTTACGGGGTACTAAACAAACTTCTACGGTGAAAAGGGTTGATTAATGTTGTACTGACGGCCAACTAAAAGAATCGGTCAAAACCTTTCCATTATCTACTTCCTCTTCGTTTCATTTTTCACTTTCCTTCCATAACCCTTTTTTAATTTCTTTGTTTGCCTTCTTCGTCTAACCCTAATTAGTAAACTATTTTTATGTATTCTAATTACAAGTATGAACGGGTCCATACACGACTCACCAATAGTCTAGAGAACTAATAATTAAACCATAAAC